CAGCACTTTGTGAATCTCGATGTGCAGATTTCGTGGCAGGCGCAGCAATTTGTGAAGCTCGATGTGCAGATTTCGTGGCAGGCGCAGTACTTTGTGAACCTCGATGTGCAGATTTCGTGGCAGGCGCAGTACTTTGTGAACCTCAATGTGCAGATTTCGTGGCAGGCGCGGTACATTGTGAACTTCAAAATGCTCGTATGTACTCGCCTACTATGTGCTCTCAGATTTGTGCTTGTATGTGCTCTCACATTTGCGCTCTCAGATGTGTGCTCTCATGTGCTCTCATATGTGCTCCCATATGCTCTCATATGTGTGCTCGCATTTGTGCTCGTGAATCTCGATGTGCAGATGTTCTTGAAGGGTTTTGAATTTCAATCGCACGGACTCGCAGCTTGCCACCGCGGAAAACATGCGCGTCTGCAGTCGTAGCTTTTGTTTTACAACGACCTTCAAGCCATACTACTCTAGCATTTTTGGCACTACGTTGGTCGCACTCTCCTCCTTACAACCTCACGCCTGGTCCCTCTGGTCTTTCACATGCTTCCGCATCTGCTGCTCTCATCTGTGCACTCTCCCATTTGTGCTCTTGTATGTCTCCTCTCATATTTGCGCTTTCATCTGTGTGCTCCTGCTTTCCTTCCACGTGATGCCATGTTCCATCTGTTCCTCTTTACACTATTTGGGGTCCCTTGCCAGTGTAATTTTATGGGCCCTCCCGTCGTAAATTATTCCAGGGTGGGGTCACCTCCAGGGATAATTTTTCAGAATAACTTTTTCGGAATATTAAAAACAACATGTTGGTGTTGGTGTGGGTCGATGGTACCGTGGAATAATAAAGTAGGAATGTGAAGGTACCCTGGAATAATATTTGGTCGAATGTGAAGGTACCCTGGAATAATATTTGGTCGGTTTTTGGTGGGCAAAAACTAGTAAGGCTTCTGGTGAGGGGTTGGTATCTTTGGGTTGGTTCTAGCAGCGCAAATACTAATAAAGCTTGTGGTGCGCAGGCCTTGCCTGTACTACATGTTTGCCATAAAACAGAAATTGCCTCCCTCATGTGTCTATTGGTTTCTATGAATCACCCTTAGAGGTTTTCTGGAAAGCATGTGTAGTGGGGTGGGGTTCTTGAGTGCATGGCCATTAAACACAGGGGTAGCCCAGTACGGAAAAGCAGCTGACAAGCAGGAAAAGATAAAAGACCTGAGACGTATGAAAAGTGGAAGCGATGAACTCGTAGCCTTGTAGATGGGTTGGAAAGCTCGGAGCTCCCCGGTTGGTATTTTGGGTTAGTCTTAGGAGCCTGGGAGCACAAATACTAGTAACTAGGGTTGGAAAGCTTGGTAAGGTTGGATGATGTTGGATGTTTTGGGTTTGTTTCTTCTTTCCAGCAACAGACAGGGCAGGTGATATTATGCCAGGCCCCCACCAGAACAGAACCACCCCTGGAATAGTTTTATCTTGCGCAGGAAAAAGGGAGCAGAATGCAAATTACTAGTAATTAAGTCTTCTGGTATGGATTGGGAAAGCTTGAGGTTTGGGTTAGGTATAGAGGCAAACAGGGGAGGTGATATTATTCTAGGCCCCTACCAGAACTGAACCACCCTGGAATAATTTCTGGTGGTTATGGAGACTGTGTACAGGAGGGCAAAAACTAGTAAGGCTTCTGGTGAGGGGTTGGTATCTTTGGGTTGGTTCTAGCAGCACAAATACTAATAAAGCTTGTGGTGGCAGGCCTTGCCTGCACTACATGTTTGCCATAAAACAGAAATTGCCTCCCTCATGTGTCTATTGGTTTCTATGAATCACCCTTAGAGGTTTTCTGGAAAGCATGTGTAGTGGGGTGAGGTTCTTGAGTGCATGGCCATTAAACACAGGGGCTGACAAGCAGGAAAAGATAAAAGAGCTGAGACGTATGAAAAGTGGAAGCGGTGAACTCGTAGCCTTGTAGATGGGCTGGAAAGCTCGGAGCTCCCCGGTTGGTATTTTGGGTTAGTCTTAGGAGCCTCGGAGCACAAATACTAGTAACTAGGGTTGGAGAGCTTGGTAAGGATTGATATTTTGGGTTGGTTTCTTCTTTCCAGCAACAGACAGGGCAGGTGATATTATGCCAGGCCCCCACCAGAACAGAACCACCCCTGGAATAATTTTATCTTGCGCAGGAAATAGGAAGCAGAATGAAAATTACTAGTAATTAAGTCTTCTGGTTTGGGTTGGGAAAGCTTGAGGTTTAAGGGCTTTGTCATGGGTTTTGGGTGAGGCATAGTGGCAGGCAGGGTTAGGTATAGAGGCAAACAGGGGAGGTGATATTATTCTAGGCCCCTACCAGAACTGAACCACCCCTGGATTAGTTTCTGGTGGTTATGGAGATTGTATACAGGAGGCAAAAACTAGTAAGGCTTCTGGTGAGGAGTTGGTATCTTTGGGTTAGTTCTAGCAGCGCAAGTACTAGTAAAGCTTGTGGTGTGCAGGCCTTGCCTTCCATAAAAAGAAACTGCCTCCCTCAGGACGCCATATAGACTGCATGTTGGAAGTTGCTTTAAATTATTCCTGACAACTCTTCACATATGGAAAAATTTTTGGCAACCATTAGGTCCTACACCCCGGAATTAAAAAAAAGAATTCTGGGGCCCCATCCACCCCAGGGCCCCAGATGGGAGGCACCATTTTTTGGGAAAGTTGTCAGCATAGACCCCAACAGTTTCAGCGGTATTTTTTGCGTCAATTCTGTGAGTCCCAATGTTGAGGTAACGTCTGTATTGGGCATGGCATGTAGACAAAAACTGCCAGAAAACAAGCGTTCTTGATTCTGGAGGTTGTCAGATGTATAAGTACGAAGGGGTTTACATGTTTCCATTTTGTGTCACGGAGGCCTACAAACAGCCTGTTTGTGGGCCCCGCGGGTGCGCCGCACGATGATTTCTTTTGACCGATGTCAGCTGGGGCAGGTAGCGCAGAAGTGCACCACCTTGAGCACCAACCTGCCGCTACGGGAGAGAGCTGTACCTTGAGGGTACATCACCACCCCCGGCCGGAACCAAGAAGCGCACACCCTCCGAGGAGGCTGCCAAACCACGGAAGAAACCTTGCCGAGGTCTTGCGACGGGTCTGCCCCTGATCCGGCTGCGCCCACTGCCCGCACCCCACACCCGTTGGGGAGGGGACAGATCACGGCCCCCACGGTGTCCATGCCCTCCATTCCCTCCGGGCGTCGTCCAAGACATCCCCACCGACACCTCCCCTGGTCGATCGTGAAGGCTGATGTGACTAAGGCCCATAAAGATCGAGCCGACGGACTGGAAGTACCAGATTGCCCAAACTGATGGTGACTGGTGGGTCAACAAAGTCGGGACCTATGGCGTGGCTTCAGCCCAGCTTTATTGGGGCCGGACGGGGGCCCTACTCCTCCGAATCATGTACTACCTGTTTCCCATGGTGGACTGGGCCTTTGTGTTTGTGGACGATTTCTGTTGGCTCCTCCGATCAACAGACGCTCCACTTTATACATGCGCCCTTGTGGCTACCCTACTTGCCTTGGGGGCTCCCCTGAGCTGGAAGAAGACTCTGCTGCGACCGATCATCACCTGCGCCATCCAACCAGCGGGACCGATAGTCCAAATGGCTACGGAGAAACGCAACAAGGTCTTGGGATTCTCCACTGTATCTCAAGGGGATGTTTTCACATCCAAGGACTTGGACAGTATCATGGGCAGACTGCAGTGGGCAACATCTACCTGCCCCTTGGCCAAACCCTTGCTCCAACCATTGTGGCAATGGAAGGGAGCAGTCAAGTCAAGCGGCAGACCAAACCAACTGGTTCAGACTTTGCCAAGCTGATTGCAACCTTAATCGGCGGCATTTCCTACAACCTGCCCCTTCCTGCCCCCTCTCCCTGGCGGGGTGCAAGTGATGCCAGTGCGGGCGGCGATGGCAGCTACGTGGGGGGATGGCTTAGTGACCAAGACCCAGTTTCGAAGGAGGAAGTGTGGTGGTTTCAGCTTCACGCGCAGGGCAGAAGACACGCTTCCTGAAGGCCAATCACGGGGCCAACTCACTTCTGTTGGCCTCCTTCTTGATGGAGAAAGGAGTCCGCAACAGGCTCCAATTTTGCATACCGTTGATCTCGGACAACCAGGGCAACATTTTCGCCATGCTGAATCAATCGACCACGGCTATTTTGATGCGACTGGTTCTCTCTCTGCACCCTCCTCTCATGTGAAGAGAGACCTCAATACTTGGGCGGATGAATTGACTCAACCTCATCCGACTGGATTCAACCCGGCAAAACGCCTCCGAACCTCAGCCCCTCTGCGGAGCTAGCTACACACTGATGAATTGGGTGCTTCAAGAACTTTATCCAACAGCTCAACCTGACCGGGGACAGGCGCCATGGGCCGTGAAATCCCCGGGAGCACAGGATGGTTTAGTCATTGCTCCTTTTTCTTTCCGTTTTCACCCATGGACCCGTTTTCCTTCAGGGTGCCCTGCGTCGGCTTTCCTCCATGGCTCATTCCACATCGACTGGGATCGGTGGCGGTTTTGGGTACCGCCCAGTCTGACACCACTTGAACTCAACTTTGACCATGGAAGGAAAAGCTAACCAAACCGCACAAGAGTGCGCTGCCGCTTTTGCTGTCTTGGATTAGCTATGGGTCTTGGTGTTTCCTCGAACATATGGTACTCCCCTTTCTTTTCTTGACAGCACATATGGTAGCACGCCCCACCCAACATGTGCTTGCATGTATAGCATCATCTTCGAATCACACCTAAAGAACATCCCCATCCCAACCCACTGCTTTGTTTTTTCCTCGCTTTTACTCAACCTCATGTATCTAGCTTCATCTAGCTTCACACACTAGTGTATATACCGACCGTCGCTTTAGCTCAGGGTCAAGGAAGCAGTCCATTTGCTTGCCTTTTGCAATCACACTCGGCACTGCTCTCGAGATATATGTTCCCAACGGGGCCCACACACTAGCACTGTGGCATCATCATGGTACCGCAGACCCTTTCGTGCTACGCACCAAAATCTTCGGACCAAAGCATGCGCGAAAGTCATTGAAAGTCCACAGCCAAGTTTCAACACGTCTCCCCAGTGGCCCTGCGGGTATCAAGAAACACTGCAAATGCCACACAAAATTGGTAAGAAGTGCGAAAGTAACAAAATTTTCACGGCGGTGACAGGGTGTGACACCTAAAACATGCATCAACATATTCACACAACACTCCAAATGTGTGTGTTGTTTCTATGTGTTTCCTTCCTTTGCCTTGCCTTTGCCTTGCACTGTTTGATTTTTCTAATTGTTTCTCCATGTGTTGCCGTTGATTTTTTTCTGCTTGCATGCTATTGAATGTGGGTTTGTTTCAGGTAGCCTTCTGCTGAACCTTGTGTGCTACATTGCCCTGGTGAGATCTTATTCACATATTCTGGCGAGAGGCGCTTGATTGTTCAATCACCAGTTTAACCGCCGTTTTTCAGGTGCATATGGTTTCAATAATTTGTTCGCTTATTCACAAACTAATTGTTCCAAGTAAACATTAGATTCTTGTTCCAAGTTCTCCAACCACTTGCCTGTTTCAGACTTGTTTCGATGTTCTGAGAGGTACAGCATGGGTTCAGATCCAGGTTGCTGAGAAAATGTTGGCCATGAGCTCGAAGTATGCTACTTGATGGGAACTGATGATCACTTGTGGTAATCGTGGCGCAAGTCAATCAAGATGTCTACACTTGTCTACACTCAAGCCGTACCAACCATACCTCCGGCAAACTTGTTGCAGCTTCAGGCGAGTACCTACGGCTCAGGCTCCATCAACGCAACCTTTGCGTCAGACATTCTGCGACTGCAGGATCTTTGGACAGGTATCATGTGGTCGTTGCTGTCACCCTTATTCCGTGTCTTGATCACCATCATTTATGCCTTCACCGTCTCCCCACAGGCACAAGCTGAACGTCGCGACACATTCTTTTTCGTGAGGATATTGCAGACTTTAGCATAGACTTCAACTTTAGAAGTCAGACATTTGCACTGAGAAGGGCTTTGAATACAATGTAGTAATAATGTATACGGCTGCATGACAGGCTTGTACAAATTAGGACACTGCCAGTGCTGAAACTGAACGTGCCCATCATGCCAGGTGGGCGTTCTGGCACTATCGGTCTTCCCAATCATCTTTGTAACCGTGCCACAGGGCTCCTCTTCTGTTCTGGCGGCCTCGTATTCGATGGCGGCCGCAGAGACCATTGATGCTTGCTCCCAAACTGGTCGAATGTGGTTTCCAGTGATGATGCTACTTTTTCAATGAGCGCACCTATGCAGAACCAAGGGGTCTTGGGGTGTTGGGACTGACTAATAGGTCTCTTGTCATTCCCTTTGAGTCTCAACTTTCAACTAGCATAGCGGCATACTTGTGTATTGCCCCACGGAAAAGTATCGACCCCTTTCACTGCGAAAACGTTTAGGTAGGTGTCACTGAAGAATCCTAGCTCTTGTCCGAACTCGGACCGCCAAGCATACTAGAGCTGCCCTGAAAAGAATGATTGATCCTTTGTCAGAATGATTTCTATCTTCCTACAACAGAGTTTTTTTTTTGAGAAGACTCGGGCGGACTCAGGCAGCTACACCAGCCAGGTACAACTAACATATCCCTCCTACATGTTTAACCATTTCAGAACCTTTCTATGTTCGGCAGGTGGTAGACTTACTTTCAAGTTTAGCATATCTCTCCAGTATTCTGCTTCCTTACTGACCAGTCGAAAGAGTGGCTCGATCGGGCTTCAGGACATTTTTCAGAATGGTGTCAACTGTCAGCGCATGCTGTGGCAATGTGATCGGCAACACTACTGGTTTTTGCAGTATTTGCATCCTGGCATCTTTTGTGCAGTGCTTTTGGATACTTAAACTATCTAAACCATTCTAAAACTCACATTGTCCAGTGCAGCATGTTTTTTTTCCATTATGTACACGTATATATATATATAAAATATAGCTACCCCCCCAAAGATCTACCATTTTTACCTCCCGCATCCATGTCTAAGTCAATACTATAGATAGATCTACAAGCACTTCAAAGAGCTTGGTATCAAACAAAAACCAACCTTTACACATCAAAGAGTTTATGAACTCACTGTCAGCCTTCAACATATAAATGTGACACATTTTCTTAAGGACCTTATACGCAAGATAACTTTCAAAGGGAAAATGCAGAAGACATACCAAAGTTTTATTTGATTCAGTTGAAGGACTTGACAATGTGTTATGACAACTTAAGCTGTATCAAAATCAGAGTCTGTAGAGAAAATATAGAACGGTAAAGGAATGAATGTATTGAATGACAATTTGACAGATGCAGCTAATGTAGATATCTGGCACTATTATACAAACACACCAAAAAGATGCTGACACAATTGGATAGACATTGAAAAAGGTAATTACACATAGATAATGTATGCTCGAGGAATGCATTAATGAATTTTATGACACTGCTCTTATGAGTGGGACAACTAGAAAAATGCTTTTGATAGGAAACACATGTGAAATTATGGGAAGAGATGAGTTGACTGAAAGGATTAAGGACATGGAATAGGTATTATATATATATATTGACTTTAACATTTCAAAACCAAACATACGTGTTTATACTAAACATAAGTTATAACTGAACTGATCCAAAAGTTGAACAAAGTCAAATATACAATCCAAACACAGAAGCCAGTTCTACAGAACTTCAGTTGAGGGTTGCATTACAGTTGAGGATGAAGACACTTATAACAATATGAACCTAGCAATGTATAGCTTCAACAAGGAGGTATTCAACTCAATTCCAAAGTTATACTATTCAATTAAGTCACTGATCTAAAAGTTTTTAATCGACTGTGGAATGATAAGTTATGATATATCCAATTGAAAAGGTCCCTAAGGCAATCACTGAAATTAATATTACCAGAGCATTTACACACATTACCAGACAATGAACATTTGTCAATTTGATACATGGAAGTTATATAAAAATGTAGTCGATTGTGATACGTTGACTAAGTGTACTTCTTTGGCAAATAGTGTAATGTTAATCAACAAAGATATAATGTGTTCTACCAGGCAATATGAGACAATTTTAAGAGAAGAGCCAAGATACTGGCATGCGAAGAACCCAGTAAAACTGACAATATTTATTAATTACAGAGGTATTCAGAATCAGTGTGTGAACACAAACATATCTGATAATCAAGAACCGGACAAATTCAAAAAGAAGTTGATAGGTGTTGTTAAGTATGGATTGCTGGAAAAGGACGCCTCAACATTTATTGGACTCAAGATGCCTAGAAACCGTTTTTCCAGCAGTCTTGAATCGTGAGTCCATATTTGTCGCTCTACCTTTTGTCTATTTGTTTTCTTCTCATAGACTGCCAAAACCAAAACCAAAAACCAAAAAAACAAAACTCTGAGGAGAATCTTTGGTTTCAGCCTGAAAGATGTGTTTTTGTTTTCATTGAGTTTTTTTTTGTGATTTCATTCATGGAAACAACAAACAACACACGGTTTTTTTGTTTTTGCTTTGGTCTATACAATCACCAATGCCCAAAAGCAAAAAAAAGCTTTTTGTTTTTTCGATAAAACATAGACGAAACCAAAAAAACAAAAAAACTCAATGAACACCAAAAAAACAATCTTTCAGGCTGAAACCAAAGATTCTCCTCAGAGTTTTTTTTGGGGGGGTTTTGGTTCTGGCAGTTTGTGATAAGAAAACAAATGAACAATAAATTTAGTAAATACACGCAGTGAGCCTACCTTATTGCGTATGGAGACTACTTTATTTATTTGATTTAGTTTATTTAATATGCTATTTATTTTCTTCATATGGTTCATCTTCATCACCTGAGGTTAAGGCTGGGGTGGGGGCCGGGTAACTCTTTGTTTGTATATATATATATATTCAATGTTGTAATTTACAATCATATCATATGTGCAACATGAAAAAGATCTTTGCGGGGGGTACCATATATATATAATTAATACACATGGTGCACATATATGTTTTTTGACTTCCACGGCTTCCAGCCCGCCATCACTCTGGTCATAAACACGTTGCTGCAATAACTGCAATTCATGCCAAGGCTGCCTATGATCAAAGATCAGGAAACAAAACACTACGAGATGCGAAAGAGAGGTGGCATCGTGCAGGGTTACGTGCAGCAGCTCGTAAACATGCTCGCTGGCCAAATCATGGCCGACTGGGATGGTCCCTGGTGAAGTGAATGACATGCTTGGTTAGTAGGCTCTTCATTGGAAACGGATGGGAAAAGCCAATGGGAGGAGGGATTCAGCTAGAGTGAAGTCACGTGCACTATAGTATTTGAACATCCCTATTTGCAGATTGTTCTTCAGCCATGCAGAGGTTAATCAAAGGGTGTGAATTGCAGACACTCGATCCTGTTTTTCACTTGACCGACTTGGAGTGGAAGCCCGGCCAAAATACGAACTGACATGTCGTGAATCTCCCAACATACGCATAGGCCTTGCCATCATTTGCGCAATCTCAATCCTCAGGTTCGTGGCCGTGCATATCGTCATTCTGGCAGCTTAGAACAATATTTGAAGGTGCTCTTGGAATCGATGTGTCTTCAGCCTTCAGGAAGAGAAAGACACCAACACCTGTCACTGGAACATGGCAATCAAACCCAAACTGCTTCTTCGTCCTGTTCAACAAGAAACGTGCATGCAACATCTCTTCATCACCAATGTGAAGTTAGCATACTTACACAATGTTATACACATTTATAAAGGCAAGCCATAGATCTTGCCTCACAAATTATGCTCATAAATCTCAGAAGCCCTAGGCCTGGCTGGCGGTGAAGGGCGGCATCACTGTGGCGGAGTTCACGGGCTTCGTGTCACTCCTCTCCTCCCTGGCTGCGCCGTCTATCAGCCTGGGCTCCTTCTATCGAGTTGCAGCTCTTTAGCCAAACATGATGAAACAGGCGTAGCAAGAATCAGCAAGAAGCCAAAAGGTAAGCGTATTACAGTATTTGTAATGAAGATAAGATCAAGAACGCCCCCTTATGTATTAGTTTGGTCCAAGTTGTTTTGGCAACAACTGCCTTTCAACACATATTCTAGCACATGTTTGTCGATTTGGTGCAACAACCCTCAATTAGTTTGGTTCACCTTTCATGGGGCAAATATAATTGCAATAGTCATCACCCTTTTTCCCTGTCTTCAACCCTTTTGTTTCACCAATCCCTCATCCCATGGAAGATGTTCAGTCTTTGGGATCTCTCCTCATCAAGAATTGCAAAACATATGATGCAACATTTTTGTATATCCTGAGTCATGAGCTTTTTGGAATTACCGACAGAGGTATACCGTATAGCTAAGAGCTGTCTATACCTGCCCGTAAAATGACTGAACATCCATGAAATTTACCAGATTATGTTGGAATGAACGGTAAAACAGCTTACTCCCTGTCACATGTCAGCTGGGTTTGGATATATACGTAAGAAATTCATATGCCACGTGGCACTGGTTGCACAGGAGTTTATGAATGCATCCTTTCTTAACTGATGTGTAAGGGCAACAACATTGCAATTTTTCGGATTTGACTATATGCTTTCGAGTGTTAAGTCATATCTCATGTGCATGACATGTTTTTTCTTTCCATTTTCAGGTTACACACGACTTGGTAGTTATATATCCTAGCACGACTCAAGACACTAGCAGCCCTAACCCCCTAACATTGCTTTCCAGAACTTCTCAGACCACCCCGACACATCAGTGCACAATACCTGCAACTGTTAAATGTATGAGCACTCCCAGTATTTTGCAGCACAACCTGGGTCGCACAACTTTTCGATCTATCTGGAACCCAACACATGGAAGACATGGGTTTACGGTGTGTACATGAGGCTTGCTGTATTTCAATCCAAGGAAGGGGAACAGGACCCTGCATTCATTGAGGCCAAAATTGTCAAGCCCCGCTTTGAGGTGAGCTGCGCTGGCTCTGTGCAGCGAATTGATGAGTTTCTTGACCAGGACCAAGTGACCAAGTTACCTCATGTTCCAATGAAGAGGGAAGGCCATGTTCCACCGGGGGTTTTTGTTTCGAGACATGCTGCTCCCGCGTGTCCAGTGAGCCAAGCCCGCCAAGCCCAAAACTATGCGAAGGTTTCTGTTTGTCCAGGTATTTTCACGCTGCACGCTACTACTCTAATCTTATCAAGCTCACGAAGCTGCCTTGCCCCTCTTGAGGGCCTACTGTTGTAATTAGTTCAAGAGGCGTCATACTAACACCTTTCGCATGTCGTATGCAAAGGAAAGGCGGCACAATCAATGTTTGAAGAGAGTTTCATCCGAAAGAAACACTGTACACCAACATTGGCTCATGGTTCAACATGTTTTCAGTATGCCAGAGCAATCTTTATCGTGACTGGAGCGCCTGGCCTCAACCATGTACTCTTAAGCTTTGGTCAACCACCAAGCTATTCTTAGCTGCCAAAGCACAAGCTCATTTGTACAGGAACACTGCAAGTACATCACGGCACAAACACAATATTCAGTATTTAGTGCTTAACGTGTTTAAAAAAAAGATGTGACGCCATTTCAGCTGTGGCTGAGGCCCCTTGCCAACGACTTGTTAGCTTACACTACTGTAGCCAGGTTTTTGCTCCAAAGAGAAGAATGGATTGACAATCCATACTCTGCTTCAGGAGTCTTTGCCCCTGCTGAAGACCAAAGTAGTCCTGGGCAGGGCAAATGGTGCCGACAGCCCTGTTTCGCATTCGCAACCTGACTGGGAGAGGCCTGGCATCTTGAAGAAGTGAATGTGGTGCATGGCAAAGAACAAAAGGCAGAAGTTAAGCTTTTCACTCTGTCGCGGAGGCAAATCTCGCCCATGCAGTATGGAGATTTGGACGTCAGCAACAGCCTCATGTTGTTCTTGCCAGCTGCAGTGTCAGTGATTGCCAGCTAAGTGGAACGCATTCCAGTCTGTTGCGTGGTGCCATAGTTTTAGCATGTTTTAACTGCGTTAAGAAAAGATGACAGCCACACCTGAGCCAAGGCCGCTTGTCCTTCTGCTACCCTGGAAGAAATGAGTTGCTTGGACAGGGCTCCAACAAGTATTGGCTCAGCCAACCGACCAGAGTGTAGAACATGCATCTCCATTGCTTGTTTGCAGATTGATGCCGTTTGAGACCTCCAGCGCAACATAGCACAACCATTTTCTCGCCTTTTCTTGTGCTATTGGCCTTTCCCCACGCGCAATCCTGACACGCGGGAAGCCATCAGATTTGCGATCCACGACGTCTCCTTCAACATACCGGCTGGCAAGTTTGTGGCACTTGTCGGTGGCAGCGGCTGCGGTCATGGCCTGAGGAATGTCATGTGGATGTGGGACACCTAAACAATACTGGTAGACGAACATCCTCAGCTACTGCAATGTAGAATTTATATGCTTGTTTTTGGCTGTTCTTCAGTATGAGAATCTTAGCAACATAAAGGAACAGGGATGAACAGGGAAAAGACACCTGGAGTCGCTGTCGTTGGAGCAAACATAGACAAGAATACAATGGTTGAGGAGTCAATTATCTGACAAATACAGACTTTTCTGCAAGCCACTTCAGCATGCTTGAATTGAGCGTCAGATCCAACAGCGAGAAGATTTGAGTTCCCGTGCAAGCCAAGGCAAGTCGACATTGCTGTCTTTGCTAATGACGTGGCTATGCCCAAGCCACTCAGAACTTTCATTTGTATAATTCCACGGACTTTCCCAGTTGAAAGATTGGAACATATGTCACAAAAACCTTGGAGTGAGGGGACTTTGAGATCCTCAAGCCACTTGGTACAGCCTCAAGCTCGTGGTAACTTCTAGTGATCTGCAAGATATTATATACTACCCGCAGTGCAAGATACTATTACCCTCCAACAATCGACATTTGATGTTGTGAAGCTTCCAAGGTGAGGGCACAATCAGCTTGGGAGAGGAAGTGAGCTTCAACCCTTGGCTAGGACAGTCCAACAGTTGTGCTCGTTAGTGACTCAGCCAACCATTGTAGCTTTAACCTGGCAACTTCTAGGGCAGCTTGGTTCAACATAACGTCAGGGTTGCTTTTACGCCCTTGGATGACCAACTGCTGTATCTTTGGTTCTTGCTTTGTATTGTACAACCCAGGTGAATGAAACAATGGTTTACAAAGGCCTGAAGCTTGTAACCAGACAGAGTCTAACAAATCACTCTATGACAGTGTAACAGTGCAAGCTCTGTGAGTTGTTTTGCGGAGGAGATTTTCATAAGTCAGCACGGCGACTTCGGAAGAGCATTTCTGTTGTCTTTCAGGACGGTAGATTTGTTCTGCCAGGGCCAGATTCTGCCAGATGTGCTGCAGATGATATTGTCGAACTGTTAAACATGGATCTTTAGACATGTGACATGTGTTCTGTTGTGTTTTAAAGACAGAAGTGGTGTAGGCTGAAGATATTTGCAGAACACTGTACTTGCCAGTGTCATTTACTTGCAAATAGAACAGATACAGATGAACCTTTGTGGCAACCACCCTGACTGTGAGGGCAGCACAACATTTGCTAAATTTCAATATCGGAGAAGCGTTGCTGCAAGGACAAGACCCTACTTCGGGGCTCAGTTCTCGACAACATTCTGATCAGACACTCGGTCAAAAACCCAAACTTAGAATGTTGGATCATTCTGATACATCCAAACTGCTATTGCCTAATTGCACATAAGTTCACTATGTGCACAGCATGCTACTGTTGCTGCTGGCTTGTTCTGAACATTTGTAACTGCCGAGACGATCTATCATGAAGATCACAAAGTAATTTTGTAAAGGCAAAGTCTTCCTGTTTTAGTCACGAAAGCTAGCGAAGCTAGCTGGAGTTACTCTTGCGATAGCAAGGTTTCTTTCGACCGGGTGCAAATCCTAACCCCTGATTTTTCAGGTCGAAGACCCCCCCCCC